TGCTTTCTTATCACTTTGCATGTCTGGACAGGAAATAAAGTGGATAAATCTCATCTGATCCCAGAGAATAAGTCAGGTCAGGACATGCTGACGAGAGAAGACTGGGAAGGGAAAGGAGGAAAGTTTTCTATTCTCCTCTCTTATGAGAGTGCAACTCAGAAGAGTGCTCTGTTTTTTACAATCAGAATTCAAACATTTTTTTTCCACCAGTTTTTCATAGAGCACTTGAAGTATAACCAATTCTAGTTACTTATCTAATTATCTAATCCCTGTGCAGGAACCTCTGCCATTTTTTTTTCCAACATAGAAATAATATTAACAATCTCCTCTCCCTTCCTTCCTTCCCAGACAGTAAGAGAAATAGGCTGAGCAGTGTACATGGACATGTGTGGGTGGATGGGGGTGAAGCTAGAGGAAGCCACAGAGTTAGCTCTAAATGCTTTGTTCCTTTATTCAGCAAATTAAATAACCTTGGTTTAGCTTCAATGAAATTTTAGTCCTCTGTGCTCATGAACTTCCCGTTACCAGTAATCTTTTTTTTATTGTTTCAGCCAAACACAGCTGTTCTGGGAAGTCCTGGCCAAATAGAGAGAATCAGTCTTTAAGGTAACTGAATGATTTCCCACAGAGAGCACTGAGTATTTGAGTCAAAGGCTTCAACCATACTCACTTTTGCATCAAGCAGAAATAGAGGGCATTGAATTGTACTGTTGACAGAAAAGGCTGACATATTTTTACCAAGTTGAGATTTTTCTGGGTCTTTCGGCTTCATTTTGAAGTTTCATGGATTACAAGGAGCAATTTTGAGGATCACAACTCCATAGGCACAACATAGGTTGTGCCTGGCAAGTAATCTCTGAATTTAAATTCATTAAAGATTTTCCACTGCMAACAGAATATAGTCACTTATAAAAGCCCAGTCAACCAGCCAACCATCCAAGAAACCAACAAACTGAAAACCCCTCTTTATGATATTTGCTTATGTGGAGACAGATCCAAATGTTGTAGGACACTGCACATGGAAGAAAAGTTAGCCAAAATCATCCTCTGTACTTGGTCAGGGAAGACAGATCTGAGCCTTTCCATGGTGCTTAATTTTCATCCTTCTCTTCGACTCTGGGATATTGAGCCGTSAGGTGTTTGGAGCGACACCCACCAGCTTGGATATGCAGGTGTGCTCCACACCTGGCACAGATGGCAGGAGAAAGTCATTGCATAGGAATAAAAGTGGGATTTCTAAAATGCACCCTAGCCCAGAGCTTGTGGAAAGCAACTACCTGTTGGCATGGGGAACTTCCTCAAMTGTAACAGAATGACAGCATCCATAAGTTTCAGAAAACAGTGATTCTTACCATACTCGTAAGATTGTATATGGCTCCTTTTATTAGGAGAAATTTCAAATAGAACCAATATTTTCCCACAATAAACCTTTTCTTTTTTCCACCCAGGTATAATGTTGGGAGAAAAATTGTTTCTCCAGGGCAAGGTGGAAACAGATTCCAGAGAAAATAAGCATATAAATGTTTTTGGAACAAAGCATTTATTCTTTATGATATTGCTTTCTTCTCCCCTCCCAATTAGTAAAGTAGAAATTAATCATTTCATTAAATAAAATAATATAATTATTATATCAACGTTATTTGATGGCTGTGAAACTATATTTTTCTTACTTATGGGCTCAATATTTATTTTAATCTCTATATTTAAATCTAGTTTTGGAATGTTGAAAACTGTACTTTTTTCAGGATGAACAATTTTAGGGTTAACTTCGGAGAGCTGAATTCATTGCCAGAGCTGACACGTGTTTGGATATGTAGATCAAGTTCTTTAAATGTCTGAAATTTGTTCCATTTATTTTTATTCTGTAGCGTTTTGACTAGCTTCTGTGTTTTTTTTTTAAATCTCCCTTTCTAAAGCTTAGTGTCAGTATGCTAGTTTTCAGYAGGATTTATTCCATGAAGTTGTTTACTTTAATTATATTGTGGATACTCAGATACTGTTACTTAGTGGCTCAACTATACTTCTTGGATCAGTTCCTAGATGTTACTTAGGACTAAATGAAAAAGTAAAAATAAAGTCTTGTTTTCTCATGTGCTGTAGAACTAGTTGTTCCAAAAAGCACTTGTTTATCATGTTGAGAAATTTCTCTCTAAGCCATTGCCCATCACAGTGTTTGACCACCTTATATCCTGAAACACAGGAACCTAAGATTGGAAAGGGCTGCCTAGGTCAGTGAGTCCAGCTACCTGATACTTCAAACAACTTATTTTTTTGGAAACCCCTCTCTGCTGTGGAGCTATTCCCTTGCTACTGTGTTCAGCAGCTCTGCTGAAGGATTCATTGGAGGTCTGAGCTGGATAATCTGCATGCCCAGCACTAGGCTGAGGACATTTCTGTCATAAAATGACAGACTCTGTCGTCATGGTCTGTGGCAGTCACTGAGCTGTTTCCTCTCTGCAGTGTCCACAAGGCTTTTCCAGGCGGGACAGTAGATAYGCAGTTAGTTCTCACAGCAGGGCTGTTTCAGACCCTACAGGTCTCACTGTTAGAAATGTCCCATTTCCAACCTCATAGTCATAATCCATAACCATRGGTCTTTGTTTCCTGGACAAGCTTGTCCCTTAGCTGGAATAATTGGTACACTTCCCCGATTCTTACCCCAATACATTCATAAATAACAAAGAATATTTCTTCCCTGTGTTCAGTGAACTCTGAGCACTTTTCTTTTTCTTTTTCTTTGAAAACAATCTCTATTTCCCATCCCCAACTACACCATTTCCCATCAGAATACCTCTTCTATGAACATAGGTGATGTGGRCCATGCAAAGGACTCTTGTCCAGGTGGCTTATGTAGGACTACTAACAGTTTCCCATCTCTTCTGGTAAGATTCTCATCAGAAATTTCAAAATCACCCTTCTGTGATMGTCTTTCTAATTGTTGGTTTCATAATTATTTGGCGTTTGTTTTGTTCCCATGTTGCTTCCAGCTTATGAATTCTTATTTTAGAACATAAGGAATTCTTGCTCCTAAGCCCTTTGAAAAACCTTACATTCAAGCTAATACATATTACCCTGTCTCTGATACTCTGGCTTTCAAGGTTATCCTTTTCCACCTATATGAACTCCCAGGCCTTTCTTCCACCTKCTTGCTTGGTGTCATCAACAAACTTCCTTAACAAATAATCCTTTCTTGAGCCAATCATTAACAGAAGTATTCAATGAAGTTAGCCCCAAGAGAAACTCCACTGGTAATGTCTCTRTATTAACCCTTTCCACTGCTTAAGTTTTTCTGTTGTTTGTCTGGTTCCTTTCGTACATCACAACTTTACCTTTAAAGCTCATTTTCTCTAACTTCACAAAAATATCCCAGGTGACACTGTGGCCAAAGCCTTTCCAAGATCACAAAACTGATCTTTTTTTTTTTTTTTTTTTTTCTGGTTCCTAATGCCTTTCAGGGTTCTGGATGACACAGAACTGAATATTCAGTTGTTTCTGAATTGTGGTAGAAGAGAGGACAAGGAATATCCTCCTCTTGGACTGTTCTTCAAAGGTGGCTCATAACAATGTTCTCTGTACCTCAAGGATACATGGGGACATTTTATTCCTGCTCCTCAAACTTGGGAAGTATGAATTGACAAGACAGAGCCCTGGCCCACATTCTGCCACGTGAGAGAGCAGGGAGAGTTTTCTTCCATGTGCTGTCTCATACTTTGGAGTGAATACATAAGCCCGTTGCCACAGGCAGCTCTAAATTTTCTTCAGTTAAAATCATCAATCACTTCTTGAGCTGGAGATCTCATCTTTGGACTCATCACTGGGGTCTAGAGAAAAGTACATAGATCATGGACACATAGTATGTTGAGTGCAACATGAAGTTCTATAAATGTGTAGCAGATGCCACCTCTGTCCCAAACGCTCTATTGCTGTTTCTCTAACTCCACAGTCATACTGTTATTTTCATTTTGCAAACAATGGTCTAAATCAGGCCACACACGACCTTTTTTTCCTGGACCAGTCAAACCACTGTTGATAACAGCTTGGTTACTGAACTGATGCAATTGGTTTTTCTTTCCTAACCTCATTGCCTCCGATTTGGCAGCTGCTAATATCCTCTATTGCAGTTTTTCTGAACTTAGAACCTTTTATTTATGTGCAGATCTGGCTTCTCCAGACATGCCACCATCCAAACTATTTAAACTTGCGTATATACCAAGCCTGGATCTCAGCTGAGTGTTGGGGAGCATTCACACAGACTCAACATCCCAGCATGGCATGTGGGCAATGTTGGCCTGGGTGGTGTGGATGCAGGCAGAATCAGGAACCTAATAACTGAGTCTAGCCAGCACATGCCCTTTGTTAATCAGCTGGGCAGTCCAGCACTGCTCTAGGTCTAACAGCCAACAGTGTGAGCAGTACACACTTCATGTGTATGAAGTGTAACACTTCATGTCGGGAGCATGGGAGTGTGTAAGCCAGCTCTTGGGCTTGTAGGAGTTGTCACTCTCAGAGATTTCACTGCTGCCTCTGAAAGCAGAGATCATTGTCCCCGTGAGTCTTCAGTCTGCTCAGAAGCATGAAGGAACACAGAGGAAAAACTCCTGACCTCTGTTATTCACTGTGAAAAAAGAGCAGGTGCCCTGGCCAGCTGCACAGCTCTGAGTCACAACGTGGCTGTGGGAGGATGGAGCTGAGAAGACGTCCAGCTCCAGTGGGAGAGACCGAGTTAATTCTTGGAGCCTCTGCCCACTCACCAYGTCCTGGCCTGGATACAGAAAGCCTGGATGTGACTGACCCCTCCATCCTCTGGAGTCTGCTCTTGTGCTCTCTCCTCTCTCTTGGCTCAGTTTCTTGAGGTTTTTGGCTTCCTGGCTTTGGGCATAAGGTGTTTTGACAGAGAAGGTGGTAGCCTGGGGGTGGATCGAGAGTGGGAGACAGGAGAAGGGAGGAGTCACCAATCGATGTTAATAAATAAAAGGCCCCTCTTCTTCACTCCAGGGTACAGGACGCTGGGAGAACTGCCCCCTCAGACAAGAGCTGCTGGCTGACAGGGAAGCGTCTGCTCAGTGAGTACGCAGGGACCGCCCTGCTTTTCCTGGATAGCTGCTAGTTATTAATGCCTTGCTGGTGCTTTACAGCTGCAAAATGTTAAGTGTTGTTGCTGTAGTGTGTGTGTAACATTGTGAGGTCAGATGGCTGTTTTTCTAACTCCCCATTACTTGGGGGACTGAGGCATTTGAAGGCACTTCATCTTAGCTCTTTTTTCTAACTTTTTTTTCTAACTAGTTTTTCTAACACTATTAGAAAGCAGGAAGATTTAGCTTATTGTGGTGTGTTACTTCTGGGGCATCACATGGACTCTGCAGAGGTGAGATGGCTGGAGAGGCATGGAGTGTAGGGGGAATCAAAAGGAGGTAAGTCTTCATAAGGGAATGGAAAGTTGTTGATACAGGGCTGTGCAGCCTGCATGTTCATATGTCCTTTGAAAACACATTGCCTCTGCGGTGAAAAATGAAACATTTGGGTTAAAGTGGTGTTTGTGGCACTTCTGCTGTGGTGATGGCAGGGGATGCTCCTGGCATTCTAGGATTAGTGAGTCATCTGACAGGGGAGCAGGGTATTCCAGGGAGCAGAAGGCTCTGAACTGAGTGAAGATAGGCAAGTAGTAAAGGTTTGGCCAGAAGCCTGAGTTTCCCACTGTACAGCCTCACCTTTACTCCAAAATACTACCAATATCTTCCTCCCTGTGCCCCACAGCTTTCCCTCTGTGATCTACCCCTTCCTTTAGCCTCCCTTTCTTGGCAGTTTCTGTGAGCTTTAAGAGTGAACAAGATATTAAGGAAACCCATAAAATTCACATGCAGTGCAATAATCCCCAAACCTTGTACTCCAAGGAATCCAAGCAATCACAGAACACACGATTTCCTTAAAGAGACTGGGAAGGCAAGGCACGGGTCAGCAGAAGAGTCTCAATTTTCTTATGATTCTGTAACTACAGCAAACCTTTTTTCTGCTACAGCACAACTTTGTTTTTCTTCTCATTTTAGGCTGTGCACTCAATGGCCAGGATATGGATGGTATGGGGGGCACTGGTGGTGTGTGACTGAGCCACTCTCTACATGGGATGGGATAATGGGGAAGAAAGCASCATTTTATCATTAGCCTGAAGTTGAAGGACCTACTCATCTCCCAGTGAAGACAAGTTATAGGCAGATTGACTTTGGCATTGAAGAGGAAGGCTATAAAGCCCAGAGTAGCGTTGTCCTACTCCAGTTTCACTGTCTACTGGGGAAATGTTGGGCACTGGCAGGCTGGTCCTGTAGTTGTTCACTGTGTCATGAGCARTGCATCTCCCAGACCAGTCTCTGCAGGTGACAGCAGCTGCTTGCTCCAGAAGTAAATGACAAAACAGCACTGTGTTGGGGGGAATCACCTGGTGGAGTCTGCACCCACCCAGTYGGTGAGAAATCCTGCCACCTGCTTGTAGATGGGAACCTGCAGATCGGTGGGGGAGCAGCCCATGTGCACATGGGCAAAACATGTAGTCACCAAAGCCTGACTCAATGATGGCAATGACTAGTTTGACGTGCACTCATACGCAGGCAGTTTGTGTAGTCTCAGCCCCACTGTCACCATGTTGAGGTGTGAGCCCTTCCCTTCCTCACTTGCCTAATGATGTCCATACTCTAGCTAAGTCCCAGCAGGGAGGCCCATCCCTGCAGCACCTTCTTGCCTCTTTTATTCCTACTTATTATGCCACAGAGCTCGGAAAAGGGAACATCCCCCTTTTGCCTATCACTGCTGACCATGACTTTTGTCTCAGACAAACTTTTGGAATATTATCAGGTGAGGTAGCGCTCCCACAGGCTGCATGGCATGACAGACTCATCCTGACTGAGGAACCTTGCAAGTCCAGCAAGTCAGTAGATCTGAGAAACATGATTTACTCTGCTTCCAATAAGGTGTTGTCCCTTGTGCTGGAAAAGTAGTGTAGGGGCAGTACCACAATGAGGATCTGCAGGGACAGCAATCTGGGTGCTGCTGTGACCTGAAGGGAAACAAACAAACAAAGCAAGCAAAAACCTTTAGCAGAAGAAATCTTTACAGATTGCTTTTTGTCTGTACCRAACAGTAAAGAAGGAGATGGGAAGAGACAGCAGGTCTGGAGTCCTTCTCTGACTCTGGCAGGCTTGGAGTGCAGTGGGGTCCAACTGGAGGGAGAACTGAGTCAGAAAGAAACATTAGAGGGCTTATTCTCCATTGCTCCATGGGCAAAGCTGACAGAACAGTCTGGGCTYTGTGCATCCAGACACCAGATGGCAAGGGCAAAGAAGGCAGATGAAAGGAAAAATTAGAAAGGCAAACATGTACATTTAGGATAAGCACAGGGTCCTCCCTGTGGGCCCTTGCAACCACTTGAATTCCTTCCACTTATGGAGGCCAGCTTTTCTGAATGTGTAGTGTTAGTGACATGCTTGTCTTTGAGTTATGGTCCTCAGCCTTGAACTGAGGGAGGAAAGGGGCAGGCCTCCTCCTTCCCAAAACCTGATTCAGTCTGCTAATAGAGGATGTTTTGTAATAAACCCATAAAGAGTGCGTAGCAGCCAGCCATCACCTTCCCCTCCTCTTTCATGGGTTCCCCCCTCCCTGGCTCTGTTTTCATTATAAACATTCCAGTGCTAATTTTGCAGGCAGTCCAGGATCTCCATCTGCCTCAGTGGGAAGAAAACGAGAGACACAGCGTGAGAGGTTCCTCCCTGCACTCACACCATGCGCTCTCTTATTGTCCTTACGCTCCTGGCTTTCCTGATGATGGTTGCTACTTGCTATGGTAGGTGACCTCTCATATTGTGTGAGGCAATAACTGCAAAGTTGCAGACACCTTTGGACCTGTTCAGATATGGTTTTTTTGGCTTTTGTTTTTTTCTTTTCCCTTTTTTTATCTCTTTTGCCTGTTTTCTTGCCCCTTTTCCAGACCTTCCTAGTTCTGCTGCAAAGCTCAGTCAGCTCCAGTCATCACAGCTGGCAGCCTGAGATGCTTCAACCCCTTACTTGCTGTTTCAAGTCATTCTCCATCCTACACCACTTTCTGCCCCTCTAGAGCATATAAGAAGAAGTGGAGGACACTAAATCATTTTTGCTCAATTCTTATAATGCATGACTAATGAGGCTGGAGAACAGAACTGATCATTGGTACAATATAAAAGGGGGAATTGTGGACGGGTGAATAGGAGCCGTTCTGAGTTTGACTCTCCCAAAGACTATTTTCTAATTGAGAGAGTCTACTGCACCCTAAATGGTGGCTTCTACCATGTAAATGGAGAGAATTCCWTCCCTTCTTTTGTAATATTTGTCCCCCTTTTTTTTTGTCATGCATCGTTCTGTACAGATGGAACTGGACTGCTGTTTCATGCAATAGTCAAAGACACTAAGCATATATCCAGGCTTTGAAGATAAACAGGTATCATACCCGTGGTAGTGATGGGAACATAAGGCTGAAGCACTTCCAGTACACTGGAAAACTAAGTATGAACCCTGAAGACTAATAAAAGATATTAGTAGCTCAGTTTTACACTCCTGAATACCCTCAGTATGTAATCCTGATCATTGCTTTCTCTTCCTTTTAAATATGTGCCTTAACACTTGTTTTCTGTTTGTTGTGTTGTTCTGTGGATCCTTGGTGTGTGAAAAAATAGTGTATCCTATGAATACATTGTCTAACTGTATGTTTTACTCTTTCTTTACCCAGAGTCCCATGAGAGCATGGAATCCCATGAGTATCTCAGTAAGAGACTATTTTCTTATTTTCTATAATTCAAAGTATGCTACAGGTATCTCCTAGCTTGTTTCCTTATACTTTACCACGGGGATCAAATAGAGAGAACCACTCAGAATCAAGGAAATGTATTATTTTTGGTGATAGGGTTTGAAGATGAATAAGAAAAGAGCACAAAAAAATACTTTGCACATTTGGGCGCAAGTGTGTACCACAGTGTTTTGCAAAGCAGGATACTGAGAATGGGAAAACAAACAATGATGAACGCAGATCCCAGCTGCATGCTCCTRAAACAGGGAGAGTTTCACTTTGGAATGAGCAGTGACCTACAGAAGTGAGAGAATAGATTAATCAAAGTTAAAAAGAAATCAGTCATCTTGGAAAAGGATTTCACAAAGCAGCTAGTTGGAAGCCAAAGACTTCCACAGACCCCTAACATTGTAACAGGACCATATTTTCTCTCAAAAAAGATAAAGATAAAGGTGACCTTCAGGTGCCTCAGTCCAAAGTTGTCACACAGTTTTTTGTTCACTGACTGCCTAATGTCGGAGGAAGGTAAACCCGTTCAGGCCCTTCCTCTTTATACTTGAAATTTCACACTGATGTGAATTCTTCTCAGTGTGTCCGGATCTCCCTTGATCTAGCTATCTTGGCACCTATCTTTTTGGCTAAACTCCACCAGAACAAGAGTGGTATGTACACTTCCATATAGACTGCCCAAGCCAGGGAGAAAGTCTGTGCATCAACCACCAAGAGAGGACAGGAGGGAGTATTAAAGTGTCCTAAGTTTCACTTTGCATAGGAAGGCGGACAAGGAGACTGTCACAAAGGTGGGAGATGATTTTTGTGAAAATCTGTCCTAGCCCAAGTATCAATGTGATCTGAGCAATCCCTTGCCTTTTCAGATCCCTTCCTCAACAGGAGGAGGGCCAATGACTTCATACAACCTGACACGAGACTAGAAGGCATGTCTCAGGAGAGGTACGTATTGTCTCAGGGTACTCAGGATGAGAGGCGTGAGGGATCTGTCCTAGCCAAGCACAGGCTAGGACCAGTGGAGAAAGCCACAGCAACTTCCTTGAAGCCTCTGCTTAAGTCACCTGAAGATAGCACCAACATAATGACAGGGAATCAGTGTGGGATTGCCAGAAAGTAAGATCAGTTAGAGCATGGTTCCAACTTTCAGATAACATGCAGAATTTGCACAACTTTTTTTTTTTTTTTTCTCCTAAATCACAGGCCTCTCTGTAGGCCTTATTGCACTATCAATAAAAGATAGATACAGAGACGTTCCTATCTTATGCAGGGCTTGTGAAAATTAAACCTTAGGTACAGAAATTATCTCCTAGAGTGGTGTTGCACATCCCCTCTCAGCACTTCCAGATGTCCCCTCTGTAAGACATTTCAGCTCTTTGGTACACTTGTTGCTTTGGGAAGAGCTGACCAGAACAATTTAGAGAGCCAGAGAGGCACAGCCAACATTCCATACTAGCAATTACAAGCTGAAGACACTGAGGGCAGCTAGCAATGGCTTCCAAGTCACAGGCCACAATGCTGAGCCCTGATATAAAAGGTTACCCAAGGAAACCAATGCTCCTGGTTTAGTCACATCACTCCCTGGAGTATGGGGAATACAACAGCTGGTACACCCTAACCTTGGTAGTTTGACACATGAGACTGCAGAAGGATCTTGGTGGGGAACTGTGCAGCGTGTATTGAAGCTAACAGCACTTATCCCTCTTGTCCTTTTGTTTGCAGGATCAGGGAACGTATGAAGGCCCCCCAGGAACGTCAGAGAGAGATGTGTGAAGACTATTACCCCTGTGAACTCTACGCTTACCGCCATGGCTATGCTGCTGCTTACAGGCACTATTTTGGGAGGAGGAGGACTAAGTAAAAGAAGCTCAGTCTTCACCCTGGGGCCTGGAGCCTAAGGGATCCTCCCAGAAAAAGCAATGGCTCTGAGATATATTCAGTTGCTTGTTTCCCTGTATGTTAACCTGCATGCAGCTTCACTCTCATGTAGCCACAGATTCCTGCCTTCTGTGTTAATTAGCGCTGAGCTGACATAGCAGAGATCAGAGAGAGTTCAGGATGTGGGTGTCTTGCTACACAATAAATTGCTGGTTTGATACTATCTTCTCATGAGTCACTCTATTTTTTGGGGAGGGAATTTTCCATGAAGAAACTGAGTTTCTCTAGTGCAGAACCTGGTATGAATTAGGGAAAAAAAATAGGGAATAAAAAAAAAAGTGAGCACCTAGGATTCACATGAGTTTGAAAAGATCTATGAAGTTTATGCTCCAGGGCCCCAAACTGACTTATTTTAGATGTCCCTGCCAAATTTCCTTTCAAAAACCTAAAACATCTTGAAATGGTAGTGTTCATAAAACAGTGTGAGGTACACTTTTTTTAAATGATATCTGTAGCATCTTTCCTCAGTAAKTTAGTGACAGAAAAAGCCTCTCAGCTGCATCTTACCCATCCAGCTACCTTTTGTTCCTGACATTGGGTGATTCTGTGTAAAGCAACTCCTGGTTTGGATTTTATTCCTGCTTCTTTCTGGAATTCCCTTTTACAGCCTACAGTTTGTATTGTTATTATTATTATTAAGCTAAAATTAAGATTGTAGGTGTATATTCCTCTTGGATCAGCCTTGCCTTTGCTGAAGTTGGAAAGTCAGCTTGAGGCCAATGTCTTCCTTTTATACTTTAGCTGTTTCCTCTTGTATTGTACCARCCTCATGAGGGACAAGATCTGTGATCTGAAGCCTCAACAAGGAAAGGGATAAAACAAGAGCTCTGAGAAGAAAATGGAAATAAGCTCCTATGCTGGTAGGAGGTAGCATGGCTGTGGCAGCCCTGCAGGAGGAATGGCCACTGGTACTAATGAAGGGCTGAAAGGAGGTAATGGGATTCCAAGTGATAAATAAAGAAACCCACACTGTTTGACAAAATGGATGCTCAAGTTAATTCACTCAGAGCAAGTTTGTTTCAATGTCCGTACCTCAGCCAAAATCACTCTATAGCCTGACCCGGCTCACAGGTTGCCAAGCACCTTTCCCTTGAGGTAAGAGTGTGGCCACGGTTGGGTTGCCACTACCATCAACGCCTCAGGTAAGAGTGTGGCCACGGTTGGATTGCCACTACCATCAGCACCTTGCAGAGTGTCCCAAGGCAATGGGCACTGGTGCTGAAATGTGGGAGAATTAAATACTGTTCCCAGCTGATCAGTGACCACAGCTGCTTGGTTACACTTTGGCATGAGGTATGTAGAAGACATGAAATCTATATCAGCTCACCACAGCTTGTTTCAATATTCCTATATCCAGGTTCCTCAGGGACCTGCAAAGTACAGAAGTGTGAAAGATTCATGGCACACTATCAAAGACTCTGAGATAAAATAACAATTTTTTGACTATTCTGTGAAATTAAGCCTGGAGTTGAACCTACTTTATACATTGGAAACACACATCTTCAGAAACACACATCTTCAGAAATATGCTTCAAGAATTTACTATTTTTAGAGATGAGTTTTTTGAAAAGAAATGTGTGTATTTGTTGAAAACTCTTCTAATAAGAAACACCAGCTCCACATTTTCTAAAATTTATCCAAAAGAAAAAGTGAGTGAAAAGTGAGGTTAGGGGGAAAAAAAAAAGGGCGCACTATGGATTAGGTTTATTTTCAGCTCAATTTTTATGTCTTTATGCATGTTCCCAAGCAGATGAACTGTGGGATTACCAGTCAGAGCAAAAATTTCGTATTCTGAAATGCAGAGAGATCTGCCGTGTCTGGATCTGACTTGACACTGTAATACTACCGAAACCGAAGCTGTAGGGTTCATGCTGTCTGGGTTTGTATCCAGGAATATATGGAAAATAGGGAAAAATTGCAGAAATTTCTGTGAGATCTCATTAATTTAGACTACATGTTGATCAGAAAACTTGGAAAAGCCTGTGAAGAGAAGCAAGACTGCTTAGATCACTGGAATTACATGTTTACATTCTTCTAAGTTTTCTTGTGGGAAGTGGGATTTTCCTGAAATTCCTATTATTTTTATTTATTTTTAATCATTTTTCTTTAAGATGCTTTTGTTGGAGGTTGCTAGCATATGCATTCAATCTTTTGTGAATTCAGAAAAAAAAATATTTATTTTAATCCTGAAATTTCTCTAAATTAAAAGGCTCTGTTTCTAAGGATTGGCAGAATACTGCCAGWACTGCCAACACTGCCAACTGGCTCTAAGTGTCCCTGGAAACATTTTAAGCTCTAATTCTGCAATGCTTGGATGCCTCCCTGTTGGCTGTTCCAGATTTCACTCTTCCTCCCTTTGGAAACTGGGAAAGTTGGGCTGTGTGCAGGGCTGGTGAGAGGAGCTTGACCTGGAGGCAGACATGAACCATGAGGTGTTGGGGGTGTAGCTACAATGCGATGTGGTTTTGGTCCAGCACATTTGTGGAGCATGAGTTTATTGCCAGGTAGGGTGTTGAAGAGGGCTTGTGGAGAGGAATAAGAAAGAGTAAGCTACTGCTTGTGAGTAGGAACACTGCCCATCAGATAATTCTGAATAAAAGCAATAAAAAGTACATTTCACCACCAAGCTAAAATGACTGTCACCTCAGCTCAGGTCATACCCAACAGCTCAGTTTTCCCTTTAGGTAGGGCTACAGTACTTAAGAACTCACTGAAAATCCTCTGAACAGAGGACAAAAACACAGCTGGAGATTTTCTGAATGACACGGTCATGGCTTGTTGCTGGCACCAGGAGCAGTGTGGGCTTTGGCTGCTCTGTGACAAACCTGGTGGGGTGGTGGGGACACTTCATCCATGTGGAATTGTGCCAGCTCTGTTACTGCTCTCAAGCACACTGACAGCAGCTGTGAGGCACATGGATCTTGGGCCAGGTGAAAGCTATAGCCACCCAAACTTGAAGAATAAAAATTCTATATAGTCCCAGGATATATTTGCTTTTGAGACATGAGAAGCCAAGCTAATTACCTCAAAAATAGAAAACTTTTCAGGAATTTAAAAGAAAAAACACCCATTCTTCCCCACTTTCCCTTATCAAAATGTCAAAAAAAAAAATCAACAAAACAAAACAAGAAACTACCAAAGCTCACAAGAATGTGAAAAACTCAGCATTCCAAAGCAGTTTGTTGAAACTGTCTGAAGTGGAAATCCACTGTGTGTTTCTCATACACAAATCATTTAAAGGCCTTGTTTTTTCCTTCAAAGAGATGGGTGAGGTGGGGTGGGGATAGAGTGTCATCACCATCAGGTTCGGTCTCATTTGCTCTTCTGTAGAAAAAAAGTTTCAGCACGCCAAAGAAACTGCTCCACCTCAGGCTGTATTAATGTCTCCCATGGCCTTTTTGAAAGAAGCCTAGTGACTTTCATGTTTATAATAAAGCTATTTTTTTTTTTTCATCCCAGTTGTTTTGCTTCAACAGTCCTGTTCAGAAATTCAGATAAAATCTGGAAATGCCAAGAGCCTTGAGATGGATGTCAAAATGGCTGCCAGGGGCAGATATCTCCTGGCCCAAAGGACAGCCTTTGTTTTGGAGCCCAGCTGCAGGAACACAAGCCAGAGTCCTGGTCTCTCCAGATGATCACAGCATATAAACTGCTGCCTGTGAGCAAGCTCCAGAGAAACCCGTTAGCCTCTGGGAGAGCTCTGAGGCTGGAGGCGAGCAGCTGAGCCAAAGACGATGAGGAGTCTGCTGGCACCATTGATCTTAGCTCTGGCCCTGGCAGTTCTTTGCTGTTGTGAAGAAGGTAAGGGGATGTCTGTCCTAGGACGCTCTGTGTGAGAGTCACCAAGTCCTGTGGCTTATAGGGAGTGTCCCTCTGGTCCATAGAGACCTACAGCTTGGGGATGGGCAGTGTGCAGCGGGTTGTTGCGCAGCTTGAGATTGTTAATGTTGTGCAGCTTGAGATGTTGAGCTTTTGCAGGACTGGTTGGTTACATTACACAGACATAAATGAGATGGGGCCAAAAACACTAAACAAATTACACCATTGAACTGCGGTGGAGTTTTCTGATGTTTTGACATGTTTAAACATTACACTTTTTTTGGCATTTAGGTGAACTGGCAAAGGAATGCCGGATGCTCAGTTTTGAGTATGACGCTTGAGCTGCAGGGCAGAGATGTGTTGACCCCTGGGAGAGGTGTTTTTTACCTGCTAGCACTGGAATGCTGTAGGATCTCAGAGATAGGCACTGAGTCACGTCTTCTCCTGTTGAAAAGTATAGGACATAGAGAATTTCTGGAGAGGTAAAAAGTCCTTATTGGACAGGTAAAAAAAACATTGAGGGTTGTCACATTGAAATAATAGCACATCTTACAGGAAGGTGATTTAACCATAATAATTTTATGATCAAGAAATAGAAATGTAATGGCACCTTTATAATTAATGTAGAGGGTGGGAGAAAGATCAGGAAAAGGGAGGCAGAACAGTAAATTGTCTTGTGTTTGCCTATATTGGATTTGTTCTTTCCAGAGTTAAATTTATCCTGGCATCAGATATGTCATGATTCAATGCTGGCAAATATATTTTGTTTGACCTGTGTTTTCCTTCTGTCAGAGCGTCTCTTGCTCACCCTCTCAGTCTTGAGTACTCGGCTTTTTTTAGCTATTGTTATGTTCTGGATTGCTTAATAGTCTTGAATAGTCTTGTAGACATTTTTAATCTTCTATTTATTTATTTTGAAACCCAAGGAATGTATAGGTTGTTTAAAAATAGAACTAGAATTAAGTACAACTTTTCTCACACACAGTTTTTATTTAAGCATAATTTTGTTTTGGTCCCTGAAATCCTGTTTTCCCCTGTAAATACATTCTGAAGACTTGTGTGGAATTGACACTGTTCAATAAAAAGCCATAGGTGAAATAGCAGAGAGTGGGAAAAGCAAGACAAAGAGGAGACCTACCATTTCTCTTGAAGGATACTTTCCTATGATGTTTGCAGTGACTTTTAAGAGTTGAGGTTATGACTGAACACAGAAATAAAGTATGCAAATTCCTCTTGGGTGGCTAATAAACTATATACTTCAACCTTGAGCCACAAAGCTGTGAAGGTAGTGGTGTTCCTAACTCTAGGCCCTATAAATTTCCCCATAAATT